GAAGGCAAAAGAAGCCAAACGACTAAAAGAATTCTTGGAAGATTATGATGATGACAGAGATGATCCTAAATATTATAGGTAAGTAACCTTCTTGAATAAGCATTATGCTTTCAACTACTTAACAATTAATAAAAATGAGCTTTGTTTTCCCAGGGAAACCTAGGGATTTATACAGACCTGATACAAAGGTTTTGAAAAATCTGATCTTAGGAACCATATGGAAAACTGTTGCCTGCCTGTGGAGCCTGAAACAGGATCGTAATTACCCCTGCCCATAAAACATTAGGGGACTTCTTTCTGTGTAGCATTGACAGCCAGCCTTCCAACCTATAATTCATTGTATTTGAAATATTTCTTAACATGTTTTGTTGATGCCTTTTGGTTTTTACATTACTTTCTGACACCTCCAGGGGCATCTCTGACATTGTATGCAATTACACACCCATGATCTCTCTCCTCTCATGAAAGGAGGAAGGTGGCAGACTTTTTGACACTCTTAACTTGATTACTGTTCATCATAGCAAACAGAACAGTATAGATTGTAATCTGTAATTGTATGATGCATTTGAGTTTGATGTTCATCACATTACCGATGTAGTAATGTTGTCCATGGTAGTCAAGAGTAGAACCAGAACAAAGCCCGGAATGGTATTACAAGATTTGGGTAACTATTCTGTTATCCACTGTTTCCATTTTCTGCTGCATAGCCAGTTTCTTCTGGGAGTAGTCCCAAGAAGAAAAGCTTCATCATTCAAGTAAGGTTGTGGGGACTCTATTAATAATAAGAATGCTGTCAATTTAAGGTTGTAGGCTATTCAAAACTACTGATTATTTTCGTACTATTGGTGTTCTGCCTTAGAGCCAAAGGAAAGTTGAGAAATGGCCCCTCTTTCACTGATGACTGAAAACCATACTAGTTGTTGCTTTCTAAAAATCAGATTGGCTTATTTGTTCTATTATAGCTTAGAAGAAATAATATTCTTGATGGTGCTTGTCAATGAATGAGTATTAATATGTGTTGAGACTCATCTCGATATTTTAGGAGATATCAGAGAACTTTTAAACTGTGGCCCTTGTTGTCAGGAATATAGCTTTTGTTTATCTTTGGAAAATAGGATTATTTGGAAACATTCTTTCCACTATTTGCTTATTAGCTTTGGAAGAAAAACAACTAATGCATTGAGATTCTTCTCTTTTATAGGGGTAGTGCACTTCAGAAAAGATTGCGTGACAGGGAGAAAGAAATGGAAGCAGATGAGCGAGATAGGAAGAGAGAAAAGGAGGAATTAGAAGAAATAAGACAGCGTCTTCTGGCAGAAGGACATCCAGACCCAGATGCAGAACTGCAAAGAGTAAGAAATAAACTGGAACATTTGAGAAAAGATAATATGTTTTAAATGTTCCTCGCTAAGTGAAATCAACTAAGATAGAATTCAGTTTCTGGTTAACAGCAATGACTCAGGTTGCATTCTTTGCAATAATTATAAGAACTCATTCTGCATCATTTTAAGACTTACAAAGTACTTCCCCTCTGAGATAATTAAACTGTTATATAGCTTATTTTACAGATGAGGAAATTGAGGTTACTGAGTCTTTCTTTCATGTCTAAGTGTTTCTAAAAACTAAGTTAAAAGAAGTTTCCATTTGTAAAAATTGGCTTTAAAAAATTTACATTATCCACAAAAATAGTTCCGTTTAGGTGATTTTGCAGAGAAATTTTGAAAGGATTCTGCTATATTCTTGGGATATATTTATTTGTTATACCTTTAGGGTTCCTATAAATCATTTTTATCAGGTTTTGTACTGATAATATGATTTATTTTTATCTGACAGTCACTCAGCATATCTGTTTTACTCTGGTAACTCTAGATCCTTGGTAAGCAAGAACTGATCATGGATAGTTCAGTTGAGATGTCCTATTATACACTGAACTTAATACTTTTGGTCATTTTCCCCGTTAATTTTCTAAATGAAAGTTTGAAAACATAATTGCTTTGTTTTCCTTTCAAAGTACCATATTAAAATAGGTACTTTATGCTTTATAACATTTTGTGCAGTGCTTGCATAGCTCCTTGTGCAGAGTGAGTATTCTCAGATTATCTAATTCAGAAAGTGATTACTTTTTTTAAAGTCTTGCCTCAGATATTCCATTGTTTGGAGGAAGAAGAGAATTTGAATTCCGTTCTGTTGCAGTTCATTCACGTTAATCCAGTTTTTACTTGGTTATAGATGGAACAAGAAGCTGAAAGGCGCAGGCAACCACAAATAAAGCAGGAGCCAGAGTCTGAGGAAGAAGAAGAAGAAAAGCAAGAGAAAGAAGAAAAACGAGAAGAGCCCATGGAAGAAGAGGAGGAGCCAGAGCAAAAACCTTGTCTTAAGCCAACCTTGCGGCCCATCAGCTCAGCCCCATCAGTTTCATCTGCTAGTGGCAATGCAACCCCCAATACTCCTGGGGATGAATCTCCCTGCGGTATTATCATCCCCCATGAAAACTCCCCTGATCAACAGCAACCTGAGGAACACAGGCCAAAAATAGGATTAAGTCTTAAGCTGGGTATGTTGGGATTCTTTTTGGTCTTTCAGAATCAAAGAAGTTAAATGTATCAGTGGCCACCTCTAAATTTACCCTAGGCTAAAAAATTAATTGGAGGTGGTTAATTGGTTTTTAAGTGCATTGGCAAAATGTTTTTCTAGTTCACTATTTTCATAGTTTTACTTGGGCATCTCTATCAAACTCTGAGAAATTATAATTATTTAGGACTTGTGAATAGTAAGTTTTCTCCCAAGAGCAGGGCTTAACCTGGGGTCTCTGAATTTGGTGTTTTAAATATTTTGATATAATTGGCTTCCTTTGTAATCTTATGTATTCTTTCTGTTTGAAAACTATCTGAGAAGGGGTGCATGGGCTTTTCCTGATGGCCACAGGGATCTATGTCACAGCCCTGCTGTATTTGGATCTGTCTGTGAGAATTGTGACAGGCTGTGATAATATGTGTTGCTGTTCAGGAATAACAAGTTATAAATAAAATAATAACTGGAAGTGTTTTTCCTGGAGGATTACTAAATCATCCTTTTACTTTAGGTGCTTCTAATAGTCCTGGCCAACCTAATGCTGTAAAGAGAAAGAAACTCCCTGTGGATAGTGTCTTCAACAAATTTGAAGATGAAGACAGTGATGATGTGCCCCGGAAAAGGAAACTGGTTCCTTTAGATTATGGTGAAGATGATAAAAGTTCCACCAAAGGCACTGTTAACACAGAAGAAAAGCGCAAACATATCAAAAGTCTCATTGAGAAAATCCCAACGGCTAAACCTGAGCTCTTTGCATATCCCCTCGATTGGTCTATTGTAGATTCTGTGAGTTGTAATTTTAAAATTTTATTAAGCTTATGTCTCGCTTTGATCAGTCAAGCTCTTTTGATTTTGATTAATAGTATTTGTAGAGAAGATCGCATAGTTCACATATATTACACTAACTGTATGTTTGTGAGGATGGTGGTCAGATAAAAAAGTCTCTGGTGGTACTTTAGCTTCTCAAGAGTCTTTCCACAACTTGTGAAGGAGAAGTTTATATGCACATCTGTATTTGTTCTCACAAATTAGATGAGAGGGTCAAGGATGGAATGGAATGAAAAAATGTGTATTAAGTGCTTGCTCCATGCCAAGAACTGGGGATACAAATTGAAAAGTGAGGGCAGTCCTTTTTCTCAAAGAGTTCACATTCTAATTAGGGGAGGAAGTATTATTAAGGAGACTTCAGCTTCATGGCAGATGGAAAGGCCAAGGAAAGGAGCAATGCCAGGGTATTAGTTCACAACCAGTCACTGAGGCTACGGCTCTGCACCACCTCCAGTGAAGGTGCCATGGATCAGGGGAAAGCATCCAGCTGAGAGTAGGTGTTGGGGGCAGGGAAGGAACTGGTGAGTGCAGGTTGAGGCAGGAGAACGGAACAGTTCCCCAAGGCTTACTTTTGCTTTTAATGGGCAGTCATTGATGGGCTGGAGCAAGGTCCTCTATGAGTAATATTTGACTTTCACAATATCATTAAGGAAAATGATAGTAAAGTGTATTACTAGTTTTGTAAGATGATTTATTCTCTTCCCTTTTCCCCCACATTCTTGTTAAAAGCTAGGTTTATAGGTCACAATTAGCTATAAGCAAGTTATTTACAATTTTAGTATTTTAATATAGTTGAATGCAAATGATATATTTTAGCCTGAGACCCAGTGAGTTACTATTTTTCTTGTAGTCCCATATACTAACATTTAATCTGTAATAAATGGTATATTGAAGATAAAAATGTTGAAGCAATTCAAATAAACATTTATCTTTTTCTAATGCAGACATTAATGGAACGTCGAATTAGACCATGGATTAATAAGAAAATCATAGAATATATAGGTGAAGAAGAAGCCACGTTAGTTGATTTTGTTTGTTCTAAGGTTAGTGTTTTACTCTTTCTTTCTCATATCAAGACTCCAAAGATCTAAGGTGGACCGTCTTGGATTTTGTAGATGGTCTTTAAGAATTGCTCTAGCTGAAAAACTGATCACCTTGCAGTTAACCCGGTGATGAATAGAAATTCATGAGCTTAACCGGCTGCATTTTCAAGTTCAGTTGGACCTGCCCAAGGTTGTGCTCTGCCTCTGAGATCTCAGGGTCATCACTGTGCCGAAACAAGGCATTTGATAGCAATACCAATGGACCACGCAAGCCTTCTCTAGCCTTATTTTGGCCACTAACCCCCACCAGCTCACTCAAAAAATGCATGTGCACCCAAGGATTAAAGAGAGCAGGATGGTTGGAAGCTGCCCTACCCCTTCTTCTTCTTCTTGTGTGATGGTGAGAAGCAGGAAGCAGTGTGTGATTGATTACAGCATTGTCTAGATCTACTGCCCTTGCTTGCTGGAATGTTGTTGAGACATGGAGGTATAGTTTCCACCTGCAGTTAAGAAACAAAGTGATTTTTCACCACAAAAATTTTTTGGGTCCTCTGTTGCAAAGCATCTGATTAAGGGTACAACTATTCTCTTTTTTCAGACAAGTTTTATTATTTTTTCTAAAAAAAATTTATTTAACAAAAACCTCCCTTTCTCTCCCCTATACCTTACCCCCATTGAAAAAGAAATAAAAACAAAATACTTGCAACAAATATGCATAGTCAAGCAAAACAAATTCCTGCTTTGGCCATGTCAGAAATATAAATATGTATGTATATATACATCTGTATCTCAGTTTGCATCCTGAGTCCATCACTCCTTTGTCAGGAGAGGGGTAGCATGTTTCATTATGAGTCCTTTGGAATCATGGTCAGTCATTGTATTGATCAGAGTTCCCAAATCTTTCTGTGTTGTTTTGGCTTCACAGTGTTGTTATGTATCAGTTGTTTTCCTGGTTCTGCTCAGTTCATTATGAATCAGTTCATGTAAATCTTCCTAGGTTTCTCTGAAACTGACCCCTTCATTATTTCTTACAGCACAATAATAGTACATTCATAAATGATAATTTGTTTGGCTATTCTTCACTTGATAGACACCCCCTTAGTTTCCAGTACTTTGCCCACCCCAAAAAGAACTGCTCAAAATATTTTTGTACATATGGGTCCTTTTTCTCTTTTCCCATCTCTTTGGGATATATACTTGGTAGTGGTTTTGCTGAATTAATCAGTCAATAAACATTTATTAAGCATCTGCTACATGCCGGGCACTGTGCTAAGTGTTAATAAGCAAGTTTTGTTTTGCGTTAACAAGATGTAGTTACTACAATAAGCAGCATATTCCTCTAAGACTGTGACTAATAGCATAGAGGAAAAATACTATTTATTTTTCCATCTGCCTGTTTAGATAATGAGATCAGGATGGAGCAAGCCTGGATTTTATTTTCATCTGTTGGTACTGTGGCATAAAAAAGATGAGTAAAATGAAGTTATTTTTGTGATGTGTATTAAAATACACTTATGATAACTACTTGAATTGATATAAGGCTTTATAGTTACATAGTGTTTTACATATATTATCTTACTTGGCTCTCCCAACTACTGGGTGATGTGTAGTTAATTACAAGTATATACCTATTTTATAAATTAGGACATTGACCTTCAGAGGTTAAGGAATTTGCCACAAGTTCTTATATCTCTGTGACAGTAGAGCTAGGACTGAAACCTAGATCTTTAGATTCCAGTTCCAGTGCCTATCTTGCAGAAGTAAAATTAGTGGAACATTTGAACTTGATACAGAGAAAATCTCTTAGTAATGTGAGATCTGCTCAATATGGGGTAGTAAAAATGTCAGTCTTAGGATCCTAAGTCTAGACCCATCCTCTTTCTACTGTATTATGTTGCCGCTATTGGTTTTTTGTTTTGATTAAAGTAGATACCTCTGAACTTGTTTTTTTAAAAAAAAATTACCATCTGTTAATTACTTAAGCACCACATCCCCACTTGGGGATTTCCCAGAGCTTATGACTTGAACATTTTTCTTTTCCTCCATTTTGTTCAGGTGGAGGTTTTAAGAACTTGACTTTCTTATGAATAATGTATTTCATTTGTTTTAAATATTTTCAAAATACTTAAATTTAAACTTATGTTTTTAAAATGTTATTCTAAGTGGCATTTCAAGGAATGCTAAGTGTTCATAAGTCATATCTAAAAACTTCTTGATATGAAGTATATTCATGATGGATATTTTCCTGCATGAATATTAACTATAGCACCGTTAAGCCCCGGCCTAGAATCAGATAAAGAGGTGTGGGGTTCTGGGCATAAAATCAAATACTACAAAGTTTCCTTAAATACAGTTGATAACCATTTAAATTATTTTAGAGATTTTCTTAAAATCACTAATATTATTATTGTCTTTTCCCTCTCAAAGTTTTCAGACTAAAGGTTTTTTGTTTCTTTCAGGTTATGGCTCATAGTTCACCACAAAGTATATTAGATGATGTTGCCATGGTAAGTTGGATTTCCTTATCAATAAATGTCCTGTTTTTCCCCATTTCATTGGTATCACAAAATTTGCATCTTTGAACATCATGTACATAATGAATTTCACTGATTGTTGACACATGTTGTATCAAAGAAGCTTTCTTTTTAAGGTGCTTGAAGATTTGCCTCAAGCATCATTGCACAATACTGTAGTCAGGGATTTCTTTTTTCTTAGTGTTAGTCATCTGTTTGATATAAAGCCTAATCAAATTACTGCTACAGTTGGTGCCCTTCAGTTCATGAAATTTTTGAGTAGTGTCATGCAATGATATGCACAAAATAGTTTTAGGCTGATATAGTTCAGTCAGTACTCATTTATTCATTTTTTCTGAGTATGTGTTATCTCTTCAGCTTGCCTTTGACTATCTTATTGCTCAGTATTCTGGTAGAGGGAAAAAAAATACTGAGTTCTGTCACATTTGTCTTTTCATAACATCTAGCAAAAGTTGTTTTGAAAAGGGAAGATGTTGAACTATAAACAAAAAAAAGGGGTTGATCTTATCTGAGGACTTAATTTGCTATATTATCTCCATTTCTGGTTTGTTAAACTGACCTTTGGCTATATTATCTGCTTATGTAAGCTTGGCATTTTCTGTAGTATGAATTTCATTCTCAACTTAAGTAGTAAAAGTCAGCAGGTTGACAGTATAATTTTTTTAAAAAGAATCTCTTTTGACCAGGTAGGAAAAGACGCTTTTGCTGATAAAATTGATAACTTAAGGTAAAAAGTCTGAAATCAGAAGGACTTGAGTTCAAATCCGGCCTCAGACCAAACACTTGACACTTACTAGCTGTGTGACCCTGGACAAGTCACTTAACCCCAATTGCCTAAAAAGAAGAAAAAAAAAAGAAATGACTTGGGGGCAGCTAGGTGGCGCAGTGGATAGAGCACCAGCCCTGGAGTTAGGAGGACCTGAGTTCAAATCCAGCCTCAGACATGTAACACTTACTAGCTGTGTGACCCTGGGCAAGTCACTTAACCCCATTGTCTAGCCAAAAAAAATTTTAAAAGTTGTCATTATTGGGTTTTTTTTTGTTTTGTTTTTGTTTATGTTTTTTGTTTTGTTTTTGTTTTTTTTTTAGTAATTTACTAGAATGTGTGTAAACCCTATGACATGATGAAGTTCTCATAGGCTGTGACACCAGAGCTTAGGCTCTGGCAGGTCCTACCAAGTTGGAAAGAGGATGTCCCTTGCCTGAACTTAAAAGAGTTTAGATAAAAGAGTGTCCTTGCTAGGTTGGCCACAGGGTAATGAATTTTGGGGTCACACCACTATCAATGACCATTTATTAAGTTATAAATGAGTTGCAGTTTGTGTCTAATGGAAGGAGTACCCCACAGGGATGAGATTATAGATAAAAGTAGTGAAGTATTAAAGTACCATATGTGGAGAGATCCTGCCTCACATATATTTTGGTATTAAGTTTCCCTTAGGCAGTTTTCCCTCTAAGTTATAGCTGCAAATAAAACATTTCAGTGCATATTCCTTCAGATTTGGCCATTAAAATTACCTGTGCTGGTTATTACTATTGAAGATGGTTGTGATTATTTGTTTTAATCAAAAATTGTTTTTTTCTCTCCTGTAGGTACTAGATGAAGAAGCAGAAGTTTTTATAGTCAAAATGTGGAGATTATTGATATATGAAACAGAAGCCAAGAAAATTGGTCTTGTGAAGTAAAACTGTTTTTACATTTAGGTTCCATTTCAAATTTTTTCCCCTTTTCCGCCATTCAAAGGACTTTGAATTTTATCTGTCCTCAAAGACACTTGTGAAATCTGTAATTTTTTTTTAATGTAGAAAAATGTGAAAAATTTTTTGGTCCTCTGCTCTGTTAAGACCCTTCTGTTCTCCCTCGGTTATGGAGTTATCTGAATCCTACATTGGTTCTCTTTATAACTCACCAGGTACAATTACTGGTATGTTTTATAAGCTGCAGCTACTGTACAACGCCTCTCTGATAATCTTGTTCTGCTAATTTGTCCTTGTAAATATTAAAATGACTCCCTGGTTCTTTTGCAAAATTGCACTTAATGTTGAATTGTACCAGTTAGAAAACCAAGATAATCATTTTTTATTGCAAGAGTATCAGCCATCTTTTATTTCCCACCCCCAACCCTGCCCTTTTTAATTTAAAAACTGATCAGAAATGGCAAGTCCTGTTTAAGGTATAGAATTTAAATTAGAATGTAAGAATGTGTCAAGTGGGCAACCCACTCTTCCTTAAGCTGTGTGTGTGTATGAGTGTGAGTGAATGTATGAACGTCTTCTTTTTTTTCCCCCCTCATTTGTCTTAGGGGCAGCTGCCTTAAACATTTCATGATTCAGGATCCTAAAGGGAAAGTAGTGATATTGTGCCAACCTAAATGTCTTGGACAATTGAATTGTCAGTGTCCCAGTGCATGGGATTTTGTTATGGTGCAGCATTCTGTTGAACAGGATGGGGTTCCCCTGTTTAGCTGGCTCCTTCAGCTTTTCTCTTAAGGGAGAATGAGTCATGCAGAGCTTTTTACATTTCTTTAGGCTGATCATTAATTTCTAGAGCACATTATTTTTTACATTCATTGGCTTTAACTATTATAGCTCCATTTAGTATCTCCTTGTAACAACCTCTCATCTTTTAAGAAGAATTTCTTTTTAAAGAAAAAAATTCTTTCAAGAAATGTTTTTCTTTTAAAAAAAAAGCCAATTTCAACATTGGGAGAAGTAGGAGAAAACATTAATAGATTTGGACGTAACAGTTTAGAAAACAATTTGTCATCCATTTAGGCATTTTTTGACCACTCTTGATTTTTTTTTCCCCTTAAATTGTAAGAAAACTGTATGGCTTAACTTTTTTAAAAAATAATATATATATATATGTATACATAAATGGAGACTTTGTTTTACCTCTACATATCCAGGTTAAAATTCTGATGATGTGCATAAAGACGTACCATGGGCTGTTTTTACTGTAGGACAGAACTTTACCAGGGAGCAAAACAGGTTGACCTGTTTAGAAAAGCTTAACTGTGACCCTATGTTACTAGATTTCTTTCATCTTGAGGGGACATTTGAAAACACTGTTCTTAACAAATGGAAACGTGAAAAGGTTCCACCATGTAAATATTTCGAATATTAAAAAATGTATATATTTGATCTGGGGACTCAGATTCTTTCAGAGTCTTGTTAAATAAATGGCATCATGTTATAATTGTGTGGTGCAGACTAGAAAACTTTAATTTGAAAATATGGGATGAGTTTTTGTGAGGTTTTCATGAATATTTTATGGGTATTTAGGAAAGATGGAAGCAATACCTTGTTTTGGATGGACCTCCTTTACATGTGTGGAAATGCCTTTGTTGTCATAATGTTTTAAATTCTGATTTCCTAAGGTGAAAACTTAGGGAAGAAATCCAATATTATTTGTTAATTACAAAGATCTCTAGAAAGGGGCTCTTTTCCTGTCTGTTCTTTCTTCAACCTTTATCCCATTTCAGTGGTAGAAACTGTAATAGGTACATCCATGCTCCCTTAACATAGTTAACATTTCTTTAGACATAATATTGGAGAATTGTTTCTAGTTCATTGGCCCAATATTGTCAATTTCAAATTTTATTCTAGTAGATTTAAGAGATCTTGTTGTGTTTTCCCTATTTAAATCTGATTTTTATCTGTATCATTTTATTCAAGGTATATTTATCTTTCCCTTCCACACTTACTGTATATTGCCCTTCGAGAAACGTCAACTTCATATAGCGAATTGGGAGTGGGAAGAAAAACTGTACATATATGAAAAACATGAAGGATCTAGGATTTTTAAAACTGACAGTACATACCTCTGAAAAAGTTTTAGATATAAACTTAATAAGAAAAGTCTTTCTAAAAATGTCAACACTAAGAGAAACCTATTTAGAGGTTGATTTTTAAATATCATTTAATATGCTTTTATGACTGGTATTGTATATAATTTTATTTCACACAGCTTCCAGAGAAACATGCATGCAGTTTCCCGTAAATAGATGGGACTTCCTGGGTTGTCTTCCTAATTAGACCATGCATTCATCACTTCATAGATTTTTATCATAGTTGTGTAATTCCACATGAGGGTGCTGTGAAACAGTTACACTGCTTCTAGTTAGGTTATACTATATTTCCAAGAGTAGTTGCCTTTCTGCATACCTTGGGTTTTGTCACCAATACCCTTTTTCCTCTCCCTGGTTTGGCATCTAAAAACATTTTAAATATGCAATTTCTTAAGAAGCATTTTTTAAAAAAATTTAATAGATGTTGTTTTAACACATTCCCACAATTCCTCCATCTCATATATTTCCAGTTGAATCCTCAATGATACAATCCCCCAAACATTTAAAAGTAACAATATTGAAGTGATTGTTACTGATAATGAATCAAACTTTACCCTATAATAGACTCACATTCCATATATGGAGAGTGTAGGCTATATAAGTTAGTACCAAGTTTGCCCACTGTTTTTTGTATTTTTGTTTTTGTTTTTTGGATGAGGCAATTGGGATTAAGTGACTTGCCCAAGGTCACATAGCTAGTAAGTGTTATGTGTCTAAGGCCAGGTTTGAATTCAGGTCCTCCTGACTCCAACGCCGGTGCTCTATCCACTGTGCCTCTTAGCTGCCCCTTGCCCACTGTTTTTGATCTCGGATTTGTTGCCTTCCTTAATATCTAGTTATTAGTAGTAATTGTGTATGATCACAGGACCATAGATCTCAATCTGGAAGATATCTCAGATTATCTAGTCTAGCCTCCTCCTCATTTTACAAATGTGGAAACCCTGAGGTCCAGGGAGATTATGACTTCCTTGAATTCACACAGGTAGTAAATGTCAGAAGTGAGATTTAAACTCAAGTCCTCTGACCTCTGAGCCACTGTGCCATGCTACTAGCTATATTCTTTATCTCAGTTCCATTCCACAAATGGTTTATTTAGTGCCTTCTGTTTGCCAGGCAATACTAGGGTCTGAAGATACAAAGATAAAAGCAGAACAAGTCCTTGCCCTCAAGGAGCGTACATTGGAAGGAGAATGTGGTTTTCAATCTGTACACAAGCAAATACAGGCTAATTTTAGGGAGGCGAGAACAAAACAGGTGAGATCCCAAACTGGTGGGAAAGGATTTGGTTAGGAGGTAGCACTTGAGTTTAAGCCTTCAAGGAACAAGAAATTCTGAGAGAAGAAAGTGGATAGAGTGCTTGTCAGAGAACGAGCCTATGCCAAACAAGGAGATAGAAGACAGAGGCTGAGGAATAGTTAGCAGGCTAGTGTGGCTGCAACTTTTCTTCTGCTTTGTCTGTTCTGCATTACTTCATACAAGTCTTCCCATGTTTCTCTGAGTTCTTCGTATTTGCCATTCCATGTGGTACAATGATGGTATTTTACATATGTACCACAATTTATTCAGCCATGCATATAAGAATTTCCCATTTTTGCTTTTAGATATACTACTACTATAAATATTTTCATGTAAATAGGTTTTTTTTTCTTACTGTTTATAGTGTTCCTCATATGTTCATATAAACCCAAGAGTAGGATTGCTGGGTCAGAGTGTAAATGACACGTTTGCCTAATTAGCCAAGCAAAAGTCTATACCTTGATATTAAGAATTAAGTTAATATGTGAATCAAATTCATTTAAAAAGTGATGAATTCTATGGGATTAAGATGCCCATTGAAATGGCAGTGGAAGATGGTTAAAAATATAAGTGAAACACTGCTTTTTTTTTTTAAAGAAAAACTGCACTATTGCTTTTGATTTAAACTATTGATAGTTCAGATAGTTGTCTTTATAATTTTCAGCAGTCAGTCAAATTTTCACTTTCAAGCAAAATATTTTTTTCAGAATAAGGATATTTTAATCATTGTATCCTTAGTACTTGGCCCTGTGATTGTACATAATAGGTTTTAAACATTTGTTGAATCAAATTTATTGACCCTGGACACTTAACCTCTGTCTGCCTCAGTATCCTCAACTATAAAATGAGGATAATAATTGCACCTACCTCACAGGGCTGTGAAGATCAAATAAGAAAATATTTGCAAAGTGCTTAGCACAGTGCTTGGCACATGGTAGGCACTTAATAAATGCTTGTTCTCTCCCTCCCTACCCCAAATTGATATCCTTCAACTTTCATTGAGAAATGATAGCTGGAAGCTAATCAGCTGTGGTGGTGAATGGCTACTGCCAATGCCGGTAGAACATACCACCAGAATTTAGGGTCAAGGTTAAGTGCTGCTTTCAAATAGAAACCAATATGTGGCAACATCTGTGAACTTTTCCAGAAAGTAATACATCCTAAGAGAGAGACTGTGAACGTGTTGCTGTTATGCTGCTCTTTAGAGACCCTAGTATCTTTTAAATGTTCTATTTGTAATTTAAAATGTAACTGAAGGAAGATTAAGCTTTAATCTAATTTTAACATGCAGTCATACATAAACCGTGATAATTTTTTCCCCCAGCAAGCTCACTTTCTCCACTGGGTGGGGATCCAAAGATGTATACCTGCCCTCAGAGCTTACAGTTCATCTGTGTCTTGTAGCTAATGTATAAGTATCAAGAATTAACTGTATGACCTTTAGAAAGTCACTTCATTTCTCCTACCTGACAAGCTTTTGGTGGTCTTAATAGAAAATGTTTTGGAAAGTAAGAATTTTTGTGGTTTTTTTATTTTTTTCAATCAACAAAAATTTTATTTTTCTATCCTCTAACCTTACCTCCCAGTTTTTTCTTTTTGGTGGTAGGGTGAGAAACTCTTAACAAATATGTAGTCAAAACAAATATTACTGTTTCTTTCTTGTTGTCCAGTGAAAGGTATTTAGGTTTTGCATTGTACAACTAGACCAAAATATCTTTAGAATGAAGAAATAAAATTCATTAGGTAGGTTAACATGGTTTAATAGGAATACTTCTTGATACATTTAACTCCCCATGCTCTGATTTAATTGCTCACTAGACACCTTTCTGAATGACATGATAGAATACAGGTAGGAGCATTAGATTGGGAGTCTTAAGTTTATGTCTTAGCTCTGCCACTCATAAAACTATCTGTAAAATGAGATGGTCGGACTAGATTTCTGTGGTGCTTTGCAGAGTTAACATTCTATAATGAATTTCTCAGCTATCGTACCAAATATATCTGCCGTTGGAAACTGGCATTCTGCTTGAAGAATTTAGCATGAGTCAGTTCCTCAGAGCCTGACACACCGTTGTGCCAACTGTCAAATTGAGTTGCTAGATCTTCGAAACCCAGGATCGAACCCTAATCTCATAAAGTCACCTTTAGGGACTGCACCCTTTGGTCCCATGAGCCAGTGAGGCTCAGCCTGAAAAAGCTTTTCAGTCTAGTCTCTAACCATCTTAAGCACAATAGTAGTGACCAAGATTCTGATCATTGCAGTAAACAGGGCAATTAATCTTCCTATGACTAGACATAGTAATTTAGCAGGGGAGGTGAAGGCAATCTCATTGACAAGGTTTCAGCAAAGAGCTTTATATAGTATCACAGTGACTCTTGGTAAATCTTTTATATCATTCAGTGATACAAAAAAATTTATCATTCATTGAAGAAAGTCTCATATACTAGTAATTGACATTGTATTGCACCCTTCAAATAAATTAGTGTCACTTGGTCCTTAATGAGAATGTGCAAAAGCTAGTTTTGGGTCTTTGTAACTAAAGATATTAAATAGTTACAATAAACAGAAGTAGTTAGTAGAAAACTCTAGATTAGCATTGAAGATATGTGAATATTCATGCTGTACTGTCTGTCGCTGCTATGTAGTGATTTGCAGTGGTTTAGGTAACCTTTATGAGGATAGTAATACTTATTCCCTTATCTACCACAAAAATGTGCATACTTAGTCAAGATAAATGGAATTTATTAATGTAAATTTTCACTTTAAAATAAACTTCCCATTTTTTCTGAATCTAGGACTGTCTTGGGAAAGACTAATGTGATCTTAACAAGCAATCGTGGCAAATAGTAAAAACACTAGTGGGGAGAGTAGCCTTTCTTTCTGTTTCCTTTTTACATCTCAAACCCTATGAGGTCAGGACTTTTCACTAGGAAACTTTTTTAAAGTAGATGTGTGATTTTATTGGTATATGGAATTATCTGTGTTTTAGGAAACCCCATTTACAAATGCAGATGGTACCAATTCTGCACTTAGAAACTCTTGGAGAGGTTT